AACCTATCTGAATCACAGCAGACTTCTCAGCACAAACAATAAAGTCAAGAAGAGCATGGAGTGAAGTATTTCAGATCCTAAAGGAAAATTATTTCCAACCTAGAATGATGTACCCTGAAAAACTGTCCTTCAAAATCAATGGAGAAATAAGATACGTCATGACAAAGAGCAGCTGAAGAACTTCATGATCACCAAGCCAGCCCTGCAAAGAATACTGAAAGACAGTTTAGATACACCTAAGAAAAAACCACTAACCAAAGCAGACAATTAAACAGAACAGAAGGATAGAAATTCAACAGCAGAAAGATAACATGTCAATAATAAACCAACATATAACAGTTATAACCATTAATGTAAATGGTCTCAATGCACCAATTAAAAGACACAGACTGGCAGAATGGATCAGAAAACAACATTCAAGCAGATGCTGTCTACAGGAAACCAATCTAACCCAAAAGGATACTCACAGACTGAAAGTCAAAGGTCAGAAAACAATACTTTAAGCAACAGGAACCCCCCCCCCAAAAGCGAGGGTAGCTATTCTGTTTGTAGACAATGTGAACTTCAAACCAATAATAATCAGAAGAGATAAAGAAGGTCATTACTTACTGGTTAGGGGAAAACTTCAAGAGGAAAAGATAATATATATGCACCAAATTCCAGAGCATCCAGTTATATAAAGCAAGTATTAACAGAAATTAAAAACCAAATTAGCAGTAACACGATTATCACAGGAGACCTTAACACATCATTGACACCAAGGGACAGATCAACCAGACAGAAAATCAGCAAAGAAATAACAGAACTGAATCATACTTGTGAACAAATGGACTTGGTAGATATATATATAGAGTGTTCCATTCAATAACATCAGAATACACATTTCTCTATGCAGTACATGGGACATCCTTTAAAATAGGCCATATATTAGTCCACAGAACATATTTAAATAAATGTAAAAGAGTTGAAATTATCGCATGCATGTTGTCAGATCATAGCACAATGAAATTAGAAATTACTGATAAAAGGTAGTGCAAAAATCCCACAAACACATGAAAACTGAATAACACACTCTTGAGTAATTAGTGGCTCAGAAGGGAAATTAAAGAAGAAATTAAGCAATACCTACAAGCAAACAAAAATACAAATATAACTTACTGGAATCTGTGGGATGCAATGAAAGCTGTGCTCAGAGGAAAATTTATTACACTGAGTTCCCATATTAGGAAAACAGAAATACAAATAAACAACCTGATGCTACACCTCAAACATCTCGAAAAAGAAGAGCAAGTCAAGCCCAATGCCAAAAGAAGGGAAGAAATTATAAAAATCAGAGCAGAAATTAATGCAATAGACACTAAGAAAACAATCCAAATAATCAATGAACCAAATATTTGGTTCTTTGAAAGAATAAATTAAATTGATAAGCCCCTAGCCAACTTATTTTAAAAAGGGAAGAAAAAGCTCAAATTCATGCAATAAGGAATGAAAAAGGTAAAACCACTACAGACTCTGTAGAAATACGGAAGATCATCAACTCTTATTTTGAAAACCTCTACTTTCATTGATTTCATAACACAGAAGAGATAGATAAATTCCTAGAAACATATGAAGCACTAAAGCTATGTCAAGATGTAAAACTGCTAAATAACCCAATTTCTATTAATGAAATTGATAGTGTAGTTAAGGCCTTACCTACAAAGAAGAGCCCAGGCCCAGATGGATTCACTGCAGAATTCTACAAGAAATACGAAGAAGACTTAATGACGACACTCCTCAAACTCTTCAATGAAGTTGAAAGGGAAGCAATCCTTCCTAAGTCATTCCTAAAAGCAAATATTACTCTAGTACCAAAACCTGAGAAAGACCCAGCTAAAAAAGAGAAATATAGGCCAATCTCCCTCAAGAACACAGATGCAAAAATCCTCAATAAAATATTGTCAAATTGGATGCAGCAAATCATCAAGAAGATTATACACCATGACCAAGTGGAATTCATCCCAGGCATGTAGGGATGGTTCAACATATGTAAATCAATAACTGTAACCCACCATATCAATACAACCAAAAGTAAGAATCACATGATCATTTCTATAGATGCAGATAAAGCTTTTGATAAGGTTCAACATTCATTCATGATAAGAACCTTACAGAAAATTGGAATAGAAGGTCTTTAACTCAATATAATAAAGGTCATTAATGACAAACCAACAGCCAGTATCATACTAAATGGCCAAAAATTGAATGCCTTTACTTTAAAATCAGGCACAAGACAAGGATGTCCCTTATCACCGCTCCTATTTAATATAGTACTGGAAATACTAGCCAGAGCAGTTAGCCAAGAGAGAGAGAAAAAAAGGGATAAAGATAAGAAGAGAAGAAGTTAAATTATCATTATTTGTGGTTGACATGATACTCTACATAGAAGACCCCCTAAACTCCATTGAAAGACTCCTAGATATAATAAATAAATTCAGCAATGTAGCTGGATACAAAAACAATACTCAAAAATCAATAGCATTTCTATATACTAACAACGAAATCATAGAGAGAAATGAGAAGCCACACCCTTCACACTAGCAACCAAAAAAAATGAAATATTTAGGAATTATTCTCATGAAAGAAGTGGAAGTCCTATATAGGGAAAATTATAATACATTGAGAAAAGAAATTGCAGAGGATTTCAGAAATTGGAAAGACATCCCTTGCTCATGAAAAGGAAGAATAAATTTTGTGAAAATGGCCATTCCCCCAAAACTGCTATACAGATTCAATGCAATCCCAATAAAATACCATCAACATACCTCATGGATCTAAAGAAATCACTCCTCAAATTCATCTGAAACCAGAAAAGACCTAGAATAGCAAAGACAGTTCTAAGCATCAAAGGCCAGGTAGGAGGCATCATAATCCCTGATTTGAACTTATACTACAAAGCAACTGTAGTAAAATCGACATGGTACTGGAATCAAAACAGAGCCAAAGATCAATGGCATAGATTAGAAGATACAATCACAACTACAAACACACTCAATCACCTTATCTTTGATAAAGGGCCAAACATGTTAACTGGAAGAATGATAGTCTCTTTTATAAGTGGTGTTGGAAAAACTGGCTCTCTACATGCCGAAAACTAAAACTAGACCCATGCCTGTCACCAGATAGTAAATTAAAATCTAAATGGATCAAAGATCTGAATATTAAAACAGAAACACTAAATCTATTGGAGGACAGATTGGGTAAAGTTCTTGAAGACATAGGAGTAGGTAGAAAATTCATGAACAGGAATCAAACTGCACAGGAAATACTTCCCAAAATCAATAACTGGGATCACCTCTTATTAAAAAGTTTCGGCATGTCAAAAGAAATCTCCAGCATAGTGAAAAGAAAACCCACAAACTAGGAAAAAATCTTAGTGAACTGTCCCTCAGACAAAGGACTTCTGTTTAAAACATTAAAGAATTTTAAAAAATCAGACCCCCAAAGCTCAACAATCCAATCCAAAAATGGGCATCTGAGATGAATATACACTTCTCAGACGAAGAAAAACAAGTGGCAAATAAATACATGAAAAAATGTTCCTCATCATTACTCATTAAAGAAATGCAAATTAAAACCACATTGAGATTCCATTTCACTCCTGAAGGAATGGCCAAGATCAAGAGAACTACCAACAACAAATGCTGGAGAGGCTGTGGGGGAAAAGGAACTCACTGCACTGTTGGTAAGAGTGTAGACTGGTGCAGCCATTCTGGAGGTCAGTCTGGAGATTTCTTAAAAAGCTGGCATTGGAAATCCGATTTGTTCCAGCTATTCCAATTCTAGGCTTATTCCCAGAAAAACTGAAAACTTCATACCACAGAGATACATGTGGACCCATGTTTATAGCAGCACAATTTGTAATAGCCAGATCTTGGAAACAACCTAAGTGTCCACCAACTGAGGAATGGATAAAAAAGCTGTAGTATTTTTACACAATGGTGTACTACTCAGCTATAAAGAAGGATCACATTGAGATATTTATAAATAAATTGGCACAGCTTGAGACCGTACTCGTAAGTGAAATAAATCAAACTCACATGTATAAATACCGAATAGTTTTCCTAGTGTAAGAAATGATAAGAAAACAAAAGTATGTGGTAAACATGATTCCCTATTATATTGCTTTGAAGACTTACAATGTTTTCATTCATTAATTGGAATGGTTTTATTCTGGGTTGTTTGATTTTATTGTGTATAATTGTATGAACAGTTACTTTGAAGAAAACAAGACAATATAATAGCTAGTGCTGATTTAATATCATCTTGTTTTGAAGTCCCATTAAGCTTTTGTTCTTCTGTCTCCATAGGTTTATCGTGTTGTATCTTATTGGATTTTATTATATGTGATAATATAAACAAAAACTTTTATAGACAAGGAGATAATATAGAAACCATTTTTTGTTTTCTATTAGTTGGTTCTAAATACTCTGTAATACTTGCATTCTCTTGAATGGTTTTACACTGTCATGTTGTGTTTGATGCTGTAATATATGAAGTTATACTTAAATATTTCAAGGAAAGAGACACTATGATACCTACTGTTATGTCATTTTATCTTGTGGTGAAACACTATGGTTTAAATTGTTCTGTTCTGACCTATATTATTATGTTGTAATGTCCTCTTTTATCTTAATCTCCTTCTTTCCTTCATTTTTAATAAAAAATTTAAAAAGCCTTTATTTTATTTTTAATATGTTTTATACATTAAAAAAATTATGCAACCCATTTGGGACCCCACCTGTCTCTCGAGAGGTACTCCTGTCCTCCATTCCCATTCTTCAATAAATTTTCCTGTTCTTAAAAAGAAAAACATATAGTTGACAATACTATGCAGTATTGTCAGTACCAGATAACATACATTAAATGTTATGAGGTCATACACCTACTAAGTTACAAATGCACACACATAAACGGATACACATCTACTTCCAAGTACCTGCTATATTTTACTATCTCACCATCTTTAATAACATTGTTGGTGTCAGCATCCTTGCTTTTATTCATGTTGAAAGTCACACGGTCATTTTATGAAATAGACAACAGGACCCCTGGGACAGGTGGGCTTGCTATGGATCTGTGGTGTCCATCTTCCGGTCCAACTGCCCAAGTCATTCTAAAGCCTCCTCCAGATGCATGCATGCAAATGTCCCATGATGGTGGTCATCTGCAGACAAGAAAAAAGAAGCGCTTTGTGTGTTGTTTGTGCAAACTTTCTGCTTACGATACCCAGCTTCTCCTGCCACCCACACTCGGACTTCTTCCTGTTTCACGCAGAAGTGCATTGAGGTAAACTATTTTAAGGACAGCAGCCTAAAATGGAAATAAACAGATGTAACCGCATTTCTCAAGTGACAGCATTTCGCAACGAACCCTGTCTAGTTCAAACAGATTCTGTGTAGGCAGCTTCACATATGTATTTAGAAGCTACATGAATGAGTGATCTATTTCAAACTGCTTGTTCTTTTAGTATTTCTTTCTCCCTTGCGAGAAAGTTACTTAGGACCGAGAGATGACCAGATGGACCACACAATGGTGTGCTGATACCATTTGTGCAATGAATGGAAGAGATGATTGCAGGCTTTTCCTACTCTCAAAGGACCCAGGCTTCCATCTGTTGGGAATAGCCAAAGTTAATCCTAATAGTCCACTTTGGACACTGAATTTGTTCCATTATTTAGAGAACTCCCTCCTCAGTGCCAGGCTCCCACTGGTTTTCAGCTTTATGTCACAATTTAGAGCCCTGCATTTGAAGGCAGTTAAGGTCACAATGGGAAACATGTGACAAAGTGTCCAAGTAAGAACATTTTCACTGTCATAGGGAAGGGAATGGAAGGGGAAAGATACACTGTGCTTGTGTTATGCTTGTGTGATAAATAAGGGCAAAGCTAGGAAGAAGATATACACTCTCTGGTTCTCACCTATGACAATGCTAAGAAGTCACACAAAAGAAAATTTTATAGCTTATGACAGTGGCCAAATGAAATAAGACTCAGCAAGAATCAGTGGCTTATGCTTTTACCATGAACAACATCCTTCCCACAATTGTTTTAAGCACTATCATTTGGTATTAATCAACTTCATAAAACCTCCTTCCCTTTTTTTCTATAGATGTGATTGTCTATTATGCTCCACAAACAAGTTCTTGCATAGTCTTCCCAGTGCTGGAATTAAGGAGGAGCAGCAGATCTCCTTGCCAAAGCCTTAATTGCAAAAGTTGTCAGGGAGAGGAGCCAGCCGGGAATTCAGGGCCTGGCCAGCTCATTGCAAAGAATATCTCTGTGTGAGCTGATGTTCTCCCAAGGAAATAGACACACGTTAACATACATACCCATGGGAAACTGGGAATTCAAAGCTAAGGAGGCTGACTCCCTAAAAGCTGAGATGTATCCATCTCAGTAACTAGGGTAGAATATTTGGTTAGCATTTTTTTTTTCACTTCCCAAACTTAAGAGTATGTGCTAGAAAGACAGAAAAGAAGTCTTTTAGGGGAGTTGTCCCCTCGTTCTCCCAACACAGCATCTTTATGAAACTGAGTATAATACACAGCATTTCTCATGGCTAGAGCCAATATCCCATGGTACTTTCTCCTAACGTAAATGAAGCCAGGGTGGCAAGAGGTGAACTATACTAGTAGAGGAACAGGATTGCCCTGGATCTACCTGAGCAGCAGGGAAACTACAGTGATGCCTCCCCAGGTGGATAGAATTTGAATTGCTTCTCCAATAGTTCTAGTTGATTACTAATTAGGTAATTAGGAGATAGATTAGTTGAGAAACTCATGTGTTGGTTAGTGTCCCTCAGTCAAATGAAATCATGTGTCTCAAGGATAGAGTATATAAAATGCAGGGAGAGGACAGATTCCTGAGCCAGGCTGCCTGCCTTTCAGCCTCTGATCTACCACTTACAGCCCAGTAACTCTGGCATCCTACCTCGGTTTTTCTGGATGAGCCATTCTGCAAGACTACCTGTGCGCAAATGCTTCCCTCTGAGCAGGAGACTGAGTACTGTGGCTTCATGATGTCCCTCTTGCCTTGTTATCTGCACTATTTTTACAACCCTTCAGCATGATTCTCACACAAATTTATAAATACTTATGAGGAACTTATAGTGACCTAATTTCTACAAATTAAGATGACAGAGGCTTTGGAATCAGACAATCTGGGTTCAAATCTATCCACTTCCTGTGTGTGATATTTCTAGACTTCATTGCCCTTACATGTAAAATAGGGATAATAATATCTCTCTTTAGTGATAAGTGCCGGCTAGTGCGTGTTCTCCCTATTCCTTAGGAACCCAGCAAGACAAAAGCTCAGTGATCAAGTCTTAGATTCGAAATATTCCCACGATGATGGAATAACAGAAAGAAGAAAATTTTTCATCTTGTAGTCTCTTTTACCCAATAAATATTCACTCTAAAATATGAGTTATTAGAGTCTTACAAAGCAAAATGAACGAAGTTCTGAGTAGGCAAAGCTCTGACAGTACAAAGTGTTTCTCTTCAGAAATCTGTTGGTGAGTTGCCATTTATCAGAAGAGAGCTCTAATGCCTGTTCCATAGCTAGCAAATTCAAGGTCTAGATGATTCATTCTTCTCCTCTGAGGTTTTTTATTTTCTGGATTTGGGGCTCGTTTATCTTTTCATCTCATAGACATTGCCTGGTCTTTCTTCCATGCAGATTTCAGTCGCATATTCTGCAACTGATGTGTCTCTGGACACCATCATCAAAGTGAAAATTTAGCTCTCCCCATGTCACCCCTAAAACACATCACTGAATCCAGCAAGAATTTGCCAGATAGATGCTTTTCCATTAAACAATATGCTTTTTTCCCCAAAATAATTATCATTATAAATGGGATTTTCAAGTACTTTTACTATTATGTCTGTCCCATATCAAACTGTTATATTATGGTAATTAAATGAAGTCCCCTGTCCATGTAGACATTCTAGTAATAAGTCACAGTATATTGGCTCTACATTCAAGAGTTTACGAAACTATAGACCTTATAAATAAGCCTGCAGCCCTGTAGGACAAGAAATCCTCTGTAATTTCATTAGTGGTATATTCCTATATTTTTAGGGTTCAGAGAGGCTGAGGCAGGAGGATTATGACAAGTCTGGCAACTTCCTTGTAGAATGAAGTGAGCTAAGAAAAAATTAAATAGAATGCTCTGTATTTGAACAGTGCACACACCCTCAGTTGAGGCACACTCAGTCTTCTAAATGTGGTAAAACCGTACCCTGGGTATAATCTGACCTTTCAGACTGTGTGTAATTGACTGATGGTGTTCCTATCCTAAGCGACCTCCTCACAGGTTTCAATCCCCTGACCTTCATTGAGTTATTGTTGGTACATGCGAATTTGCAAAACAATAAAAAATAAACATTTCACAGATGCGTTTACTCAAATACTTCAGATGAGAGCTGGCTATCCTTGGTTTAAATCCTCCAACAAACATTTATCCAGATGCAGGGACTCCACCCAGCCACAGGAAGGAACTGGTCATTGTTTGGGGCACTGATATGCGCTTATCATTAGGGCTTTGGGAATGCGGATAAAGGCTGCTCTGTGCATTTAATTAAAATTAGTAGGAAATTTAAAGTGAAGTGAGCATTGTCAGTGGTACTTAGTATTTAATATAAAAAAAAGCAACAGCAACAAAATGGGTGCTTAGAAGTTTGTGCAAAAAGAAAGTAGAGACTTCTTATATTCTGAAGAGAACACTATTGGACCTTAAAAAGGAGAATCTGTAGAACTCAAGTACCATATGTAGGTCAGTTATTGTTTAGCTTATTGTACAATGGTCATTCAGACAGTGTCATCAGGTGATGCCAGGAGGATGGTGTTCAGAAAGTCAACATACTGTTTTTGCATTTTCTTAAAGTGTGGGAGTATTTTAAAATAAAACAATTTGAAAGAGAATGGGGAGTGAAATCCAAGAGGTAAAAGTGTTATTGATCAGGGAAGATAAGAGTAGCAATCTAGGGCCAGGGATTTAGCTAAGTGGCATAAGCACCTTCATTGCCAGTGCGCGGTTGTGAGTTCCATCCCCAGTACCAAAATAAATAACTGAGTAAAAAAATAAAATAAGAGCAGCGATTTCTTGCTGGATGAGCAAGATAAGGCCAGTATGGAGCCACACACCTATATTTATAAGGTTCTGAGAGGCTGAGGCAGGAGGGTTGTGATGAGCCTGGCAACTTAGTAACTTAAGGAAACCCTGCAGTAAAATAAAACAGGATTGGGGATGTCGCTCAGTATGAAGGCCCTGGGTTGGATTCAATCCCTAATGCATAGGAACAAGGGTTCTAGAGAGAAATGTAGGGAGATCTGAACAAAGAGGAGAGATGCAGGATCCTAGGAAGGCTGATGGGAGTGTGCCATAAGCAGTGGGGACACGCTGGTACCCACTACCATGCAGCTGGGTCACAAGGATCCCTGAGAGTCAGACAGAAATCTCACACTGTTACAGGGTTTTGAGCTAATGCATTAAAAGCATTGCTAAATGACAGTTTGTGTGGCAGCTAAAATTCAGGAAGGAGTCTGTTTACATTGATTCCTTTTATCAAATGGATCTAATCTCCTTTTAGGGCAGTGGTTGACTGGGGAGTTTGTAAACCCCGATAGTCAGTGTGCCTGTATGTGTCGAGAGTGCTTTCCTCCTAGGTTTGCTCATTCTTAGAAGCAGAGTTGAGCTTTGGGCTTAATGAAAATATTAGAAGTACTGGAATCACATTAATGAGAAAAAAATGAGTGACTATTACTTAAGAGACAAAAATGAATGATCCAGCCAGGGATTTAGCTAAGCGGTATAAGCACCTGCCTTGTAAGTGCATAGTCATGGGTTCGATCCCCGGTACCAAAAAAAAAAAAAAAAAAAAAAAAAAAAAAGAATGATCCAGATACAAAATTGATAGAAATGTGTGGTTTAAATAAGAAAAAACCTCAAGTGTTCTAGTGCTACAAACATCAAAATGATCTAAGTTCTTGGAGAATCAGAAGACCAATAAGAAGAAACTAGAATATTATTCTCATTCTTCTTAGGACTGGTTGGTTTTTCTAGGTCACAGTTCATGGTCTACTCCACAGAGGGAAAACAAATAAAAAGAACAGAACAAGGGATAAAAGAAGTGAGTCATCAAGATTTTAGAGGACTGAAAAATAA